CAAGGCCCTCCCTGAAAAAGATGTTGTCTGGATGGCAGCACATGTTGCCAAAACATGTTTATATCGTTCAGCATTAATGGTGCCTTCACAGATGTACACATCACCCATGCCATGTGCACTGATGCTCCCCTATACTGTCATGAGTACTGGCTTTTGAATGGTACACTGATAACAAGCTGAGTGGTCTTTAGCCTGGAGGACACAGCATCCATGATTTCCAAAAAAGAATTTCAAATGTTGTCGGACCACAGGACAATTTTCCACTTCACCTCAGTCCATTTTAAATGGGCTTGGGCCCAGAGAAGGTGGCAGCATTCCTGGATCCTGTTTATATTTGGTTTCTTCTTTGCGTTTTAGAGTTTTAACTTGCATTTGTGGATGCAGCGATGAACTGTGCTCACAAACAGTGGTTTTCAGAATTGTTTCTGAGCACATGCAGTGATTTTCACTACAGAATCATGTCTGTTTTTAATGCAGTGCCAGCTGAGGGCCCAAAGATCACAGCCAGCAAATACTGTTTTTTGGCCTTGTCCCTAGCAAAGAGATTTCTCCAGATTCTCTGAATTTTTTAATGATATTATGTACTGTAGATGATGAAAAGCAAAAGTTCTTCACTATTTTACATTGAGAAACGTTATTCTTGAATTGTTGCACTTATTGCTTGTGCAGTCTTTCACAGAGTGGTAAACCCCTCCCGATCTTTACTTCTGAAAGACTCAGCCTCTCTGAGATGCTGTTTTTATACCCAATCATGTTAATGACCTGTTGCCAATCACCAGGTGGTTTTTTAAGCATTACACAACTATACCAGCTTTTTGTTGGCATCAAATTCAAAATGGGCATATATTTTTCAAAAACCAATACAATTTCTCAGTTTCAACATTTGATATGTTGTCTTTGTACTATTTTCAATTAAATATAGGGTTTAAATGATTTGCACATCATTGCAATTTTTTTTATTTACATTTAGCATAGCGTCCCAATTTTCTTTGGAAACGGGGATGTATATATATTTGGGAAGATTTGGCGCATAGAACTGAAATAAAATCTAGCTCAGCACTAAAACTTGACCAAAAGAACCGCTAGTTTGAACTGTGTTTAGATGACAACAAAAATCAAACTAACTTTTCGGTTCCACCTTACACGGTGCAGCAGTTAGATTCTAGTGTCTAACTGCTGGACCATAGTGGAATGACAAAGTCAACTTCATGGTGAATGTTGCGCTTGTTTCACCTGCACAAGCTGTTAATATCGGTCAAATAGAGAGAGCTGTGTTTCTTTTCTTTTGCTACCATGAGGAAAACGGTCAGTTTCTCCAGGAAGAGTTTAAGTGCTGAGCGAGGGCGCATTGATTCTGTTGATGCTTCATGTGTTTCTAGCTTATGGAAACGAAACTGAACTCTAAACGCTTCACTTCCAAAATAAAATAAACTGAGCATAAGCACAGTGACAGACATCTGACAATGGTGCTGTGTATCTGAATTACAGCAGGAAACAAATCCATTCACATGAAAGGAACCGGCAGCGTAGCAGTCTGCAGTCTCCATCTTTCTTCCACTTTGGGTCTCGAGTCTTTCCAAATCTTAAGGTTGAAGTCTGAGTCAAAGTCTGAGTCATTGGTGTTGAAGTAAAAGTCAAGTCGCAAGTCTTTCTTGATTTTTTTCTTGACTTGGACTTGAGTCTGACTCAAGTCACGAATTAGATGACTTGAGACTCGAGTCAGACTCAAGTCCAAGTCATATGACTCAAGTCCACACTTCTGGCAATTACACGCCAATAATATAGGGCTCTAAGTGGAATATTTAAGTATTCACTGTAAACATAGAAAGCAGGACAGTAAGCAAACCATGTTTTACACTCTTGCACCACTTTGACAGACTGGAGGTTCTCTACATAACACAAGTACATGTTCTCAAGCTCACTTGGTAAAAGCCAAGTTAATTTTAGGATTGTTAAGGCATAGGCTAACAATTATTATTTTGGCTTTGATTTGTGGACTAAGCTGGCCTTTCAGTCAAATTTTTACATTTAATATGGCAGCTGTGATTGAGTGTACACTTAACTAAAATTTAATCAAATATCTCTTAATGCCTTCTATGATATCACACTGAAAAATTACAAGATACAGATTTGACAACATAGAAATGTAAAACCTGTGTATGGAACACAGGTAAATTATTTACCCTTTTTGGCCTCCAAAAAGCCATAAAATGATCTTTTTAGAACAGACAAAGTCACAAACAGACATACTGAAAACTTGTTTAACAACCAACCTTTAATTTAACCATGGAGTACATTGAGGTTGAAACTCATTTGCAATGAACCTGAGCATAATTAACAATACAAAGAAAAAAAAAAAACAGTACAAAAATGGCAAAACTTATCCAACTAAAATGAAGTTTAAGCAACTAAGACAAGAACAATTATCAAATTTGAATGATCAACTAAAATTACAAGTAAATGTCAAGTAAATGAATAATAAACTTGAATAAATCTATCAACTAACTATATCTTAGTTGTACATGTATATAAAGCATCCAGCAATAAATTCCAGTACAGTAACTAAAAGCAGATTTTCAAAGCTCAGTAAAAGCTCTAATGATCTGAAAGGGTTTAGGGTTTTCAAACATCTATATAGTGATGCCTAATGATACAAGACATTTTAAAGAATTAGTGATTTATTAAAACCTTATTAATTCTTAAGTTATAAACTCAAATAAATCAATAAACTTGACAGTAACTTGAACCTATAGGGATCATTCACTTACAAGATGTGCATTTAATTGATAAAACTTAGTCAGGTCATAATGAATAAAGCTTAATTCATAGAGAATTAATAACATTTAAAACTTTATAATTTGTGCTTTACGGAACAAAGAACAATCCTTTACTTAACCTCTAATATGTATTCCTTAAAATGTATTACTACTTAGTAAAAATAGAATAAAAAAATAAAAACAAGACACCATGATTAACACACAGGATAAGAGTTTGTAATGTAGTTATGGGTTTTAATGGCCTGGTGAGAGATGATAAGAGTCACTGGGGCTTGAGAGCTTTTATGTACTGTTTCAGCTTGATGTGTCAGATGTTTGCAAGTGACGGACAACAAGAGAGATAAGACAGACTTGTGCATGCCTTCTTAAAACTCAAGTGGAGATATGTGTATCATAACATGGGTGAACTCCGCAAACCAAAACTTTTTGGGAAGTGCACCAGGAGACCCTCATAAAAGCTGTATACTTGTGGTCTTGGTGATTTGTGAGTTGTCCTGAATGTAAATGTGTTAACAGTGTACCAACTACAGTTTTTATTTGAATATTAAGACAACTAGATACTGAAACACAACTAGACATTGTTTTTAATGTTTAAAGTTTTTTAAAGATTAAATGGGATAGTTTATCTGCAAAAGTAGGATAGGAAACAAGGTAAACTGCTGTGTAGGTTTGCAGGGCCAAACATGATCTTTTGACAAGAACACACCTGGGAACAATGGACAGTCAATAACACAAGTGAAACAAGCTTCCTAGCAAGGCACTATTTTTAGCTATGGGTGTCCTTTTCTTATGCTTTACTGGGTGGGGGAGCACATTGTTTAGCTGAAATACAAATTCGAGAGCTTGTCTTTTCTTGTTCATAGCTGAAAATTCTTTCTACATCATGTTCACATCTGTGAACAACAGAGGTTACGTACAGCTGTGAACCCTCTGCATAGTCAATGTTTAACGGAACTACACATGACACTTGCTTTTAATGAGTTTTTGATTTGGTGGGGGGCACTTTTCAGCCATGCTAGCTTACATCCATGGGCTAACAGCAGGCTTGTTGTCCATCAGACAATATTGATGTGTGCACCGTCGCCACGTACTTTGAACTCTTCCTTCACAAAGCGTTGGATTGGTTTTGAGATTTCGCACTCCTACCCTAATAAGTCTATGTTCCCATCCACATTTAGCAAAAAAAAGTACCATGGTTATTCCCAGCCATTCTCAATATGAGACCACATCTGGCTCTGTGAGACTAACTCCTACAGTGAGTGACAAACATTTGATCAAATTTGGCTGAATGATTAACAGTCATGATTTTAACCAGCTTAATATTATTAACAAGTGCCTTTGAAAGGTGGACTTTGGTGTGTTTGTGTTGTCCTCCCTGACTTATGTGATCTCTATATTCTTCCACATATATTGATTCCTAATTCAGCCAGAATCTGTGAGCACTACAATTCTCATCTCTTATATAGACTTTATCTGCTAAATATCCAAAATTATTGTTTTCCACTATTTTTACAGTTAGTGGCTAACCAGAGGACTACAAGAAAGCTTTGAAAGCTGCATCACTGACATATTCAACAAAGCAGATCATAAAGAAACAATGATCCTGTCTTTATGCAGCACAAAAAGACAAGTTTTTTTATCTTTTCAGCCCGAGAAAAGAAGCCAACTGAAGTAAAGTAGCCAGGTAGCTACTAGATGTGTGTGAAGGCTAATCTGTGAAAGCTGAGGAGTCTGGTTTTCATCCTGAACCCAGGAGGCTCTTCTATATCACACACACGCACCACAGAGTCAAAACCCACCCCAAACCCTGCATAGAGGGGTTCAGTGAATGTGCAGTGGAATGTGTGTAAGTGGACCCGTGTGTGTGTATCAGAGAAGATGCTGTAGAAGGACAGAGTGCCAGCTGGCCAGTCCAGATACACTCCTATTCTTTTCTCGAGGGGGCTGGGGAGAGGTGTGCAGGTTGTCTTCTTATTGTGCCACACAGAGTAACTCTCATCAGAGCAGTCCAAACCCCAGGACTGTTCATTGTATCCAAACCTACCGTCCTCACTGCACCCTTTTCTGTTGATCCTTCTGTATGTCACTGCTATAACAGCCTGAAAGTCACTCCACTCAACCTCCCAGTAACAACGTCCAGTTAAACTCTGTCTACAAAGAACCTGATTATACTGATCAAATCTGTCTGGATGATCTGGACATGTTTGTGGAATCAATGCATACTTCACCTTTCTGTTCTCGTTAGACAGACAGAGGCGTTTGTGTGCTGTGTTGGGGTCTAGTGTGAGCTCACAGGCATCTGCACACAAAAACAAAACAATACATAAATAATGTGTGTGTGTGTGTGTGTGTGTGTGTGTGTGTGTGTGTGTACATATTGCACTGAGCACAGTGAACCTACATTTTTTTAATCCTGGTGTCATCCTTATGTTCCCTCCATGTTCCACCCTAAAGAAGAAAGAAGATACACATAAACACAAACACAGACAGAGAGAGAGATATTCTGTTTTAGTGTTTGTGCCAATGTTCAGGAGCATATTAGGCCTAATTAAAAGTTCAAACTTTATATAGAATAGAAGATGACTGAAGTTTCTCTTTAAATAGAGAAAGTGTGAAAGAATTACACAGTAATGCATAGGAAGTATTTACACTGTTTTTTCTGCAAATTTTCATGCAATATCTTTTTATTTGCTGAGTTTAACATACTGGGAAAAATTAAACATAAAATATCAAAAGTGCCATAATGTCACGGATTCCTTCTTTTCTCCCTCTGAGTGTCTGTTTCTTCCCCTCTGTTGTAGCCATGTGTCTTTTGTTTTCTTGTACCATGTGCTTTTGTTGTTGCTCTGTGTCTCCTCCCTGGTCCTGCCCCCTTGTTATCTGTTCCACCTGCTTGTAGCTCCACCCCTCATTAGTCCCAGGTGTGTCTCATTTCCCCTCTGTGTATTTATACCCCTGTGTTTGTTCAGTCTTCGTCTTGCATTGTGAATGTAATCTTGTCTCTTGTTTGCTTGTTGCGCTTGTAGTTTGGTTTTGTTTTGTTTTCGTTATGGACTCTCATTTCAATAAAAACTCGCATTTGCATCCCGCCTCCATGCCTCAAACGTTACACATAACAGGCCACATTTAATGATTTATTATGGATTTATGGAATAACTGAAGTTTGGAGGGAGGCCCATGCCTTATACCTCTCCCCCTTCAAATCTAACTCAATACAAATTCCCACCCCCACCTTCCATTTCTTGTGACAAAGTTTTTGCAATCCCCACCACCACCCCATCTCCTCCCTGTTCCTCAGTCTATATCAGTCCTACCACAGATATCAAAAGGGGGGTCCCAGCCTTCTAGCTCCAGTTGCCCAGAACTTTAGCCCAAGTTCTCAGAGTTCTCTCACCTCCCACAGCCTTCCCTTATACTACTACCATATGTTGAAGGCACAGTCTGAACTTTTATGGCTGTATATAAATGAGGTTGGAAAACACTGAGAATTGTAGAATTCTTTATTTTTTTATTTATTTTTTTTTATTTTTACCTCGATTTTCTCCCCAATTTAGTCGTCTCCAATTCCACCCCGCTAGTTAGGACTCCCCCAATCACACGATGCTATCAACGCTAGGAGGGTGAAAGCTAACACAGGCTTCCTCTGAGACCTGTGAAGCCAGCCACCGCATCTTTTCGAGCTGCCGCTCACACAACATCACTAGACAGCTGAACGTGCTCGGAGGAAAGCGCCCACCGGCAGATCTGTTACGTCAGCTAACAGATGCCTGCGCTGACTAGCATCGCGCTTAGTGAGTGATGGGGGGAGAAGGGCAGCCATCCCACCCACCCAGAGAGAGCGAGGCCAATTGTGCTCTCTCGGACTCCCGGCTACGGATGGCTGTAGCATCACCAGGGATCGAACTCACGATCTCCTGATGATAGGGCCAACGCTTAGACGGTTGCGCCACTCGGCAGCCGTAGAATTCATTTTTATGCAGATGTTAAATTACACAAAATGTACGTTGTTTTCCAGATCACATGGAAATGCTTTAATAACAGAATAGCAAATACGATGAATGGTACAATTATTGACTGTTTTTCAAACTAGAAATTTGGAAATTGGATTGATGAGAGGCTCTCCTTTAAGACAGATAAGTTAATGTAAAAAAGAATAAAATTAGTTTTGGATTTGTACGTAGAAACAGAGCTTGTCTTTCATATTAAATATCAACAATTTCAGGCTGTAGTCCATCTGTTTTCCTGCATAATTTGTTATTCCACTTTTACCCCATTCATCAGTGGTTAGAGACCCTTGACATGTCAGGGTGTGTTGTGCTGGTACAAGTGGATAAGATACAGCAGATTTGCTGGAGTTTTTGAACACTGTGTCCGCTTACTGTCCACTCTATTAGACACACCATGATGGTCCACATTGTAGATATAAAGTCAGAGACGATAGCTCATCTGCTGCTGCACACTTTGTGTTCGTCATCCTCTAGTCCTTCATCAGTGGTCACAGGACGCTGCCCACAGGACGCTGTTGGCTGGATATTTTTGGTTGGTGGACTATTCTCAGTCCAGCAGTGACACTGAGATTTTTAAAAATGCCAGCAGCACTGCTGTGTCTGATCCACTCAGACCAGCGCAACACACAGTAACACACCACCACCACATCAGTGTTACTTCAGTGCTGAGAATGATCCACCACCACAATACCTGCTCTGTTGTGGTTATGTGGGGTCTTGATTAATGGTGAGTGTATTCAATGAGTGTAGATATAAGGTGACAATTGAGCGATAGTACATGTTCCTAGATTTCCATTAGTAAGTTTAGCAAATTAGTAAAACAAACCAAAAAGAATGTTTTGTGCATTGTTAGGCTTTACAGTGCATGTACTTTCTTATCATTTTCCATGCAAATGTATCTTTACTTGTTACACTTTACCCATTAAACTGGATTTTCGAAAACATCTCTAAGAATATCATACACTTTCAAACAAGCAAACTAATCAAAGCACACTTTTCACTAAACCCCTCCCTCTGACAACTTTTCAGAATTTTAAACTGGCATAAAGTGTGTGGTGTATTTTTAAATTGCATACCAGACATGCCAAGAACATAGTCACCTAACTACTCCAAGTTACATGGCTATCTGCAGCATTGTGAATGTGCACCTACTCATGGATATCTAAATTCCATGTAATCACACCTTCCCTGCAGTACAGAAACTGTTCTGCTCTTTATTTACTTCATCTACATGGATCACTGTTTTAATGAGGTTTTCTGTCTGTTATTTGTACATTTTAGCGTCTGTCTTTATCTTTTTTTGAGCTGTTAGAATGCCAAGAGATCACGTGTTAGGGGTATATTTTTGAAATGCATACCAGAGGTCATGTATATTTAAAATTTTGGATGCTTTGATCCAAAAACTAACAGAACTTTTATGGGCTAAATCATTTAAAAATCATAAAAAAGCCATAGTGAATAGCACTTTTTATGAATCCTGTATTCATAACGCATTATAAAGGCATTATATTTCACACAGAACACCTTGCTCTAAAGTATAATTACATGTCTACCCTTTTATAAAGGACCAATATGTCTTCTTAAAGTCAGGTTCCATAAAGCATTATATTATCTGTTCATAAGAACATTGTAGTTGTACAACTAATGTTGTAATGCACTGTACCAACATATAACATATATAGGTAATTTCAGGCTAAAGTGAATTCAGGTTATTAAACATCTTTTTAATATTATGAAAATATAATTTCAGTCTATAAAACTGTTAGGAAAGGTTACAGGCTAGGGTCAGATACTGACTTTCACTTTGGAACCACATGGGGGTGCTAACCACTTCACATGTCTGTATTAACTGTGGGTGCAGCTGAAAGCAGAGAGACTAACAGTGGGAAATAGTGGCCTCTTAAAATATCATAGCTGTTTTCTTCTTCTGTAAGCTCTAACTCTTGTCTCTCGTAAATGCCAAAAGCACTAATGCTACACGTGATGACAACACACGTTGTTGCTAAACGTGCAACGCTTCAATCTGTAGACATTGTGACAGCAGCTTCTTTCTTCTGCTGGAATGCAGCAAGGGTATCCCAAGTTATCCCATTTATTTTCACCCTCTCCTTTATTAGGAGTGTCCTCCATAGCTGAGAAAGCAACTTCATAAAAGTGACGCCCCCTAGTAGTATGTTAGTGGGGAGAGGTCCATTAAGGAAAGGCTATGAGTGTCCTTCTGGGAGACAGTTGTCTTTAGGACTCTGACCAGCTCCACTCCACCTTACTAGCTGCAGGTCACTTATACCTCCTCATATTAATAAACATCCACATAAGCATGACATTTCAGAAGCCACTCATTTTAACTACAAGAAATCAGTTCTCAGGGCCCCCAAGATATGACATATGGATGAAGGAAAAAAACTGGACTGTCTGGGGGACCCTGGAGACCAGGTTGAGAACCATGTTCTAGAGAATAATCACTGTGTTCTGATTACGCTCTTTTCCCAAAAACAGAAGCACTTACAGCAATGACATCTACAGTCTCTACACCAGAGGCATGCAACAGCTTGATGCCCCAGTTTGCCCTAAAGCCAAACACTATAAAGCATGAGTTCTGTTAGGACATACAATATTATAGTGCATTATTATATTATATAATTATATTATAAATTATAAATATATAATCTTATTATTACATTATTAAATAGGTCTTACATAAACAGTACTGGGGAGGCTTGTCAGAAATACACAATATGGTTTTTGATACCTCAGTAAATTGTAGCTATAACACACACACACACACACACACAAACACACACAGCTACATACCTAAGTGTCTCCAATCTAGAGCGTGGATTCTCCAGTAGTTCAAAGAGAAGGTTCACTCCAGAGTCTCCTGGGTGATTATAGGTCAGATCCAGCTCTCTTAGGTGATAGGGGTTTGATTTCAGACCTGAAGCCAGAGAAAAACAGCCTTCATCTGTAACCATACAACCAGACAATCTGCAGAAAGGAAGGCAAGAGAGGGACACACACACAGTGAGAGCATGCAAGCACAGAATGCAGTGAAAATCAAATAAAGACTATCCTACCAAATTAACTCAAACTGCAGTTAAAAAAAAGCTGAAAAGTTTTTAAAAAAATGAAGTATTCAGATTTTAGTTATTTACAAGGATTAATTTGTGAACTTTTTCAATCCAAGGCATTAACCCCTTAAAACCCAGGCATATTATATACTAAGGCTTATTATTCAGTAACTACGGAGACTTCAGCATGAACTGGCTGTGCTAAGTTATAGAAGTGTGTAATAAAACTTTTGGCTTGTTGGTGGGCCCTGGCCATTTAATAGGTTAACTAAGAATGTAATAAGCTAAATATACAAAAAATTCATAATTTTTAGGGTGCTTTCTATTGGGAGGTGGCTGTCGCAAACCCTTAAAAAAATGTTTTTTCCATGTTTTGTATGGTATTTTTTATTGATTTCTTTTAAAGTGAAATTGAGAGATTTAGATTTGCCAAGAGTTTCATTTTTAAATAAAAAAAAAAGAAAAAAATCGATAAATTAAAAAAATGCTGTTGCACACTTTGGTGTCACTACTGAAAGAAAGTTTTAGTCTATAGGTGGGGTCTTATTTTAAGTGAGACTACATACCTGTCCTCATGGCCACATGGTGAGCAGTTAGATCCTATTGTTTTGAAGTAAATGTGTCCCAAAATCTAAGTCTATGTTTGAACTCTTCAAAGCTGTGTTTGATAGTCATGGACTGGTTAAACTGTGACTATCATAACAGTCATGACTGAAACTTGTGGTAAAATTTTGGTAGTGTTTTAATGGTTTATTAGTGACAAAATGGACTGCTCAGTCATTTATTTTTAATAAAATAAGCATTAATTAAGGCATTGGGTCTTTACAAGCAAAATTATTTTAGTCTAATGTTGAAGTCAAGTTAAAATCCATAAGGTATTTTTACCTCTTGACTTTGAACCAATTCGGTAGAATGATTCACAGACACCCTCACATCAACCATGATGCAATAGACAGAGTTGGGCAGAATACTTTGGAAAAGTAGGGGTGTCAGCATACTAACTACACTGTCCTAAATGTATTCAACAACATCTTCCTTTACAGTACAGTGGATATAAAAAGTCTACACACCCTGTTAAAATGCCATGTTATTGTCATTTAAAAAATCAGTCTAATATGAATCATTTCAGATTGATTTCCACCTTTAATGTGACCCAGAATCTGTACAATTCCATTGAAAAATAAACTGAAATCGTTTAGGGTGAAAAAATAAACATAAAGAACTTAAATAATGTGGTTGCATAAATATGCACACCCTCTTATAAATAAGGATATGATTGTGTTCAGAATTTGTCCAAACACATTTAAACTCATGTTAAATAGTAGCCAGTGCACAACTGCCATCATTTAAAGTGATTCTGATTAACCCCATATAAAGTTCAGCTGTTCTAATAGGATTATCCTTACATTTTCTTCAATCAGGCATCTGATTGTTGAAAGGTATCAGTCAGGAGAAGGGTACAAAAAAAATTCCAAGGCATTAGATATACGATGGAACACAGTGAAGATAGTCATCAAGAAGTGGATTAAATTTGGCACAATAATGACAATACTAAGAACTAGACATCCCTCAAAAATTCATGACAATATGAAAATTGGTCCAGGAGGCTGCCAAGAAGTCTACAATGACATTAAAGGAGCTGCAGGAATTACTGGCAAGTACTGGTTGTGTAGTGCATGTGATAACAATCTCCCATATTCTTCATATGTCTGGACTGTGGGGTAGGGTGGCAAGACAGAAGCCATTTCTAACGAAGAAAAACATCCAAGCCCAGCCATGTTTTGCCAAAACCTACTTCAAGTCTGCCAAAAGTATTTGGGAAAACATGTTAAACAAAGTTTAACTTTTTGTCCATAATTCCAAAAGGTATGTTTGGCACAACACTGTGCATCACCAAAAGAACACCATACCCACAGTGAAGCATGGTGGAGGCTGCATTATGTTTTGGGGCTGTTTTTCTGCAGCTGGAACTGGGGCTTTAGTCAAGGTGGAGGGAATTATGAACAGTTTCAAATATCTGTTAATTTGGCACAACCCTTTAGGCCTCTGCTAAAAAACTGAAGATGAAGAGGAATTTCAACATTCAGCATGAAAATGACCCAAAGCGTACCTCCAAATGAACAAAAGAATGGCTTCGCCAGAAGAAGATCAAAGTTTTGGAATGGCCCAAATCTGTAAACTTCTTGGTAGCATTTACTTCCACCTCAAACTGACTGGAATTGGGCATTTGAGCAGAGGGGCTGATGTGAATTAGGTTAAAGCAGCCTAGTCAGAGTAGCAGCAACAGTGAGAACCGACCACAGTCACAGTTAATTCAGCAAAATGCAGCAGAGCTCAGTGGCATGTAACACAAGTAGTTCTGATGGGACAATCAACAATAATAACCAACAATTCCAGGACTGTCTTCCAGCCATACAAACCATTCAAACAAATGTAATGTTGTCATTGTTTATGTTACAATGGAATGTTATGTAAGTGTTTCTCTCATTTCATTATATTATCCTTGTGTTAAGTTGGGGTTTTGCATGTTATAGTAGAATAAAGGAGATGTAGAGTTAAGTCTGCTACTTTTCCACTGTGATCAGTGATAATATGAAGTCTATAGTATGTAATAGATGGCTAGTATAAGGCATTTGTTTTGAGCTGCACAAAATCTCAGCATTTATTTTATTACAACATATTTAAAATGTCTTTTTACCCCAAAATGTCACTCTATTCAGGTATTATACCAACTTAACATCAATGATAAAACAATTGACACCTGTTGGAATAAACATTTGTAAACTGTTTACATAGGTTTATGGTAGTTGTCATTAAAGGCTTGTAGTTGTCATGCAGTCTTATAAACCATTAAGTACAAAAGTTTTTGTAACGAGTAACATAAAAAAGAACATTAAAATTGTTGGTAAAGCATTGAATACCACATCTTAATATTTATCATACAGGATCTAATTCACAGAATGCTCACCTGAGTACCTGCAGTTTGCAGTGTGAACTCTCCAGTCCAGCAGAGAGCAGCTCCACTCCTGAATCCTGCACATCATTGTTACTGAGGTCCAGCTCTTTCAAGAAAGAGTCTTTTAGTTGTAAAACTGACCTCAGATTTTCACAGGACTTTTGACCAAGATTACACAAAGTGAGTCTGCAAAGGAAGAGTAAATACAGTGGTAAATCTTACAACATATATATCTGTTTCAATTTTCCATTTTGACTGAAAGAACAGTATCTGACAGTTGCTTCTCCACAAAAAACACTTTTTTGCTTTGTTCTGTCTGTCTACTTGTTTCTTGTATTATCTACTTATCACTGTACATCAGTCTGTTTCACCATCATCAACTAACTGTTGGAGTGTCTTGTGCCATTTTTGTGACCTTTTAAATTTTCTGGCTGCAGATCTCTGTGTTTATAATAATGCAGAGACAGAAAGTTCAAGAGATTGCATACATGAGAGAGATAGAGTGTGTGCGTGAGAGTGCGTACCAGAGAGCAAATGTGAGTGCATGAAATTTTTGTAAAAAACAAATCTACTACATAAATCACTCATCAGAAAACAAGGCTAAACCTGAGCTTAATGGTGTACATGGAAAATGATTACCCAATATTTTGGTAGCTTGATTCAGGTAGTGCAGCTGTAAAAATGTTTATCATGACATTCATAAAATTACCCTGATGGAATGGTCTGTTTTAGCATGATCTTTTATATTTATACTATTGTTTTAAGTTTGGTTTGGAGAGGAAATGTGGAGAGGACTTTGAATACCATTGTTGGGGAAACATGTCAATCAACAATGCTGATTTGCTGCATGATCTTTACATGGATATTGGAACATCCATACAAAGCAATGTAGCTATTAAATTCCCACTCACTCTCAGATAAAGCCCTCCTATTAAAGAAGCAAATGTTATATAATAAAAGTTACTGCTAACAGAAAAACCTGCCACTCCCACAAGGAGCTGTATTAAGTCTAATTAAAGACTGTAGTGTCTGTAATTGCTTTTAAATAATAATAATCACCACATTCTTATTATTATTATTGTTATTATTATTATTATTATTATTATTATTATTATTAGTTGTTGTTCTTGTTATTGTTTGCTGTTATTTTTAATGGTTTAAAAAAGTGCTGTCATTCAACATCAATGTGAAATCTACAAGATTTCCAAGCTAGCTAGGGATCAGACCTTGCTCTAAAGCTTACCAATATTTTGTGCTTACACTGTGGGTATAACCCATCACTCTCCTCCCGTCAAGGACAGTAAGACCAAAGACAAGATTTATTCAGAATTTGGCTGCCCATTCACAGAATGCTACAGTGATATTGCCTGTTAGGAAGCAAGAATTTTATTACCTTTAGTCTTCATGTTAATTGAACTTAATTATATTTTCATACTACATAAATTAACAAAGGAAGACTTCAACTTCAAAGAGTTCGACTTGCATTTTTCAAAGTTGTAAAGAGTTGCCAGAGGCACTCATGCCTAGTTACATTTACTAAACTACAGTAGTTAACAATGGCCTGAACAACAACTGACACATTCCACAGCCAATTAGTTTGCTTCCAGAGTACACTCAGAGGCAGCTTGGTAAAATAACATAAGAGAAAAGGGAGAAAAATTCCTGCCTTAACAACAATGTCTATTTACTGTAAAGCTGAACCATATCTGAGCATAAACTTAGGATGTACAGAATGATGATGAAGAAATAATTTATACAAATAAACCTGAAGAGCAGACAGTTTTGTTTGTGTTTATAGCACAAAAAAGAAAATCTTTAAAAGCAGTAGGATAAGATGCCTCCATGCCTGGGTTAAGAAGCCCACTTAGTGAATTTAACATTAATTTGTCATCTAAGTTTTACAGAAAGTATAAGTTATATGTCAAATCATTTCTAGTCTTTGCATTTTTCATAAATTGTGTTATTAATCTAAGAACAACACTAAACAAATGAATAAATAATTTGAATAAATAATAAAATCAGATCATTATCAATTTATGTCTTAATGATTCCACTTAATTTGAAAACTGACAAAAGACAAAATACAGTAAAATAAATCAATTTTGTATTTTGTTAATTAAATAGTTATTGTGATTATATTCATGGCATAATGATATCCTGTGATGCAATAACAACAAAAATTAAACAAAGCAACACCAGTATGAAAGGTTAATTCAGAGAAGATAACTGATAAGTTCAAATGATTACCACTCATGACAGAACAGATCAGGTATGAAGGTATTCTGCTGAATTGAAACTGTCATACAAACAAATCTCCAGCAAGACAACTATAACTGTTTCCTAATTCTAGCTAACAACTACAAAACAAAGCAAAAAAAAAAAACTAAGTAGACATCAGCCAGCCATGGTGGGAAAGTGGACTAAAATGTTAATTTCACAGAAATCAGGGATTGTAGAGTTAAATAGTAATATCAAATGTTTAAAAATATTGCAAACATGATGTAGAACAGCAGGTGGTCTAGCAAAGCAAAGTTTGGAAGCAACAATAACTTCATAAAATGTCAACAGTTTATTTTTGTAGAGATGACAGAGAGTAATGCATTTATTAACTTAACTGTTTAAATATATGTCAGGTGCAATTACCAAAACCTACATTTGTCAAAATAGGCTTCTTTGGCAGCCTGACCAACTTGAGGCATCTTTTTATAAAATCCATTAGGTGTATTACTGCTCAACACAAGGAATTTATTAAAAGAACATAATGGATTTAGCCATGTTAGGGAAAAGGTACATAGCCCCAAATTATTGAAATATAGGGAAAAAAAATATTTGGATCAACTAGACAATCATGAAGCCAAATCCATGCATGAAGTGTTGTGTTGCCTGATTAAGTGTAAAAAAAAAAGAAACTTGAGAAATCATTGCCTGATTCCACACCTTTAGCTTGCAGTTTATAGCCCGATTTCCAAATAAGTTGGACACTGTGCAAAATGTAAATAAAAACAAAATGCAATGATGAGCAGACTATTTAAACCCTATATTTAATTGAAAATAGAATAAAGACAACATCTCGAATGTTGAAACTGAGAATTTTTATTGTTTATTGAAAAATATTTGCCCATTTTCAATTCAATGCCAACAACACATTCCAAAAAGTTGGAACAGGGGCAGCAAAAGGTTGATATAGTTGTGTAATGCTAAAAACACCTGGTGGTTGATTGGCAACAGGTCAGGAACATGATTGGGTATAAAAAGAGCATCCCAGAGAGGCTGAGTCTTTCAGAAGTAAAGATGAGGAGGGGTTCACCACTCTGTGAAAGACTGCATGATCAAATAGTGCAACAACTCAAGAATAACATTTCTCATCTAACATTTGGTGCATTGTAAAATGAATAATATGACAAAGGAGACCTTGAACTGTTGAGCATCTGAAATCCTCTATAAAAACAAGAATAGGAAAACATATCACTTTCAAAACTACAGCAGTCAGTTCCCAAATACTTACAAAGTGTTGTTAAAAAAAGAGGTGATGAAACACAGTGGTAAACACGCCCCCGTCCCAACTTTTTTGGAAAGTGTTGCTGGCATCAAATTCAGAATAGGCATATTTTTTTCAAAACACAATAACATTTCTCAGTTTCAACATTGATATGTTGTCTTTGTAGTATTTTCCTTCAAAATATGGTTTACATGATTTGCACATCATTGCATTCTACTTTTATTCACATTCTGCACAGCATCCCAACTTTTTTGGAAATGGGGTTGTATATGTCTACTTCATTCTCTCTTCATCTCTTCATAATATTTAATATCAAACATTAAAGTTCATCATACAGGATCCAATTCACAGAGAGCTCACCTTAATATCTCCAGTTTACACAGTGAACTCTTCAGTCCGACAGAGAGCTGCTCCACTCCTGAGTCACGCAGGTCATTGCTACTGAGGTCCAGTTCTCTCAGGGGGGAGTTTACTGATTTCAGAGTAAAGCAGAGAGATTCACAGGAGTCCATGTTGAGATTACAGTGAGATAGTCTGCAAAGAAAGTATATATATATATACCCAGTAAACATTTGGCCATTGAAACAACGTTGAAATCACGTATCTGACTGCCATTTAAACTACGCTTTATTAAGGTTCAAAATGAAAGTTGAAAAGACGTCTAAACTTAGCCGTTGAAAAAACGGCCAAAATAGTCACATTGAAGACGTCATTTAAAGGCTGTTGATTTAACGTTGAAATCACGTACATAACTGCTGTTTAATTTACGTTTTCTTATGGTTGAAAATGAAAGTTGAAAAGACGTCCAAGCTCAACTGTTGAAAAGACGACCAAAAAAGTCACAGTAAAAACGTCATTTTAAGGTGTTCTAAGGCCTTGGAAAAAATTATAAATTATAAATTAAAAGGCATTGAAAAGTCATCCAAAATTAATTTCCACTAGTACACTCTCAAAAAAAGATAGCACTTTACCATGAATCCTATATAGAACCATTTCATGCTTAATAAAATGTACAGCAGAAGAACCTTTTTTGGTGCTATATAGAATGAATTTTTCTATATAGAACCATATACAACACATTCTGGGTTAATGTAAAGAACATTTTCACCATGCAAAGAATCTTCCTGTAGTTAACTAACAATTTTGATTTCAATGTAAACATAAAACAAACTTTTAAATGGAAACTTTATTGAAAATGTGTAGTTATTCTTAATTTCATTTGTGGAACATAAAACTGGACCATGAACTTCGTCAGGACTATAAAAAGATCCTATGCATCAATTCAGAAAGAATTTTCACCTTTGAACCATAAGCTGTGTCAGTACTGTATAAGATTTTCAATGTTTTAATGTAAAGGAAATCAAGGTGATTATTTAACAACACAAAATCTTGCATTTTAGTTTCTGAGAAGTCAAACAAGAAAAGTAAAAAAAATAACAAAGTTAAAAGCTCTGCAGGGGGCTTGCTTGAGGTGATCGGCCATGGCAGCGTCCATCTCATGAGTTGTGGCTTTGTTGTTCCACTTCAGAACTGCAGCTGATATAAAATACAAACAAGACTGTTACAATGAATGCACACACAAATCATTAAAATCCCCTGGCAAAAACAGACAGATCTGTAGAAGGTGACAGCCATTCTAACATCATACTTATTACTTATTTAATCTTCCTTATCAGTTAATAATCACAATGCCACAAGGCCTTTGACAGCTTTTAATTCACATATATTTAAACCTTTCAAATCTGAAATATGTTCCCATATAATATAAATAATATTTTCCTGTCTGAAATGTAGCCAATAAGGAGTCATCTGATAATTCCAATTTTTTTTTAGTTATTTTTAAATGTTTATTTCAGTGGGCTTCTAAACAACTGTGAAGTAGTGATGTTGTGATATGTTCTTTTAAATGCAAAGGGCTTGAGCTTGTCTCTAATTTTATATATTCTCCTAAGACCCATGAGATTTCTAAACTCTGTACTAGACTGCTGGGAACTGAAAAGCCTCTCTCTTATTTTGGTCAGTGTTTATTTGTTAAAGGAATAAAGCACAGTCCAAAGAACGAACTGGGTAGTAAATAGTACAGAATGCAGCTGTATAACATAGGAAGCATCACAGAAAAGCTCAGTATTATTATTTGACTTTTTTAAATGCCTTACAAATTCCAATATCAAATTTGACTGAAATGACTACAATTAATGATTCTGCTTCTTTAGATTAGTACTGGTGTTATATGTAACATTGCTCAAACACTAGAAGACAATATTAACTATGTTTTTCCATAAAAACATCCCTGAAACTTCTCTCAATCCTCTCAAACCTCATCTAGGTCTCCATTAGAGTCAGCAGACATGTCAGTGTAGGACACACAATGACTTACTTTGACTGAACTATAGAAATTAACAAAACCTCCCCACTACGGCCATTTCAGGCAACACAAAGGCTGCACAGGACTGATGTTGGATCAGTAATTATGACTGTCATTTCCATAAAAAAACTATTCTAGATCAGCAATCCTACTCCTGAGACAGTGAGGTCACCCACGGCACTTACTCTTTGTTCACTTTTATAGCCCACGGTATGTCATATTGTGTTATACACCACATTGAGAAGTCTGCGCCACCTTAATGAAGACATGAAATGATTTAGGTGAATATTGACTTTTAGGGTTTGTTAGAAATGTTAGCTTCACAGCTAGCTAGCATTAGCTACTCAAATTACCTAGCTGCATAAGCTAGCTACTTTCAAATATTGTATAATAATCATTAATTGTGGTACTTCGTTTCAAAGTAAAAATATGCTCCTGGCAGTTTTAAAATGAGCCTCGAACTATTCATGTATGTGACTACAAGCTTATGTAAATATAGCTAATGTAGCTCAATATAGCTAACGGCTAACTTTTACAAATGAGCCCGCGCAAAAATCTAAGATGAACACCAACGTAGACGCTATATGGAGCGCTACATTCACAATATACAGCTACTATTCACGTTAGCGTTTAACTAGAATGATTATGTGGTGTTTCTAAGAAGTTATTAGCAAATACTTATATGGGGCAACAACAGAAATAGCTAATGTCAGAAAACGTGTGTTGTGGTGATGAACCAATAGCGTTAGCTAGTGAACTCAGCTTTTATCAGGACCTTTTCCATCAATCACACTGAATTAAAGGAAATAAAATGACCGTTACCTTCGTTAATAAGCCTTTAATTCGCTATATTCAGCCAATACAGACAAATCTTTAAATCTACGTCAATGCCGTGCAGCACCGAACGCTATGTTTCCCGTAGTTAGCACGACTGTTCAGCACTAGCTAACCTTAGCAGGACAGCTTCAGCAGCTGTATCAAATACTAACTTGCCAGCTGGCTAACATATATCCTCTATTCATAAACAAACAATAATACTAATATTTAAAGATTCGTTGTAAGCTTAGCTATGGCAAAAGGTCTACCTAAAACGGCCAACTCACCTGGGTCATTGTAGACAGTACCGCCGTATGCTGTGGCCGGCTCGCTGAGGACTTTCTCAAACGAGGACCTTCCAAAGGGGCGTTGATCGGTGTCTGTTCAGATGGATATCGTGGCTTCTTTAACCCGCTTGATACATCCAACAAACCCACAGCGCTTAAATGACAGGACTGCCTTGCTGACAGTGGAAATGCAGTTGCAAACAGGATTGCAAATAGTCATTTTGGCAGAGCTGAAGGACCATGATGATGAAATACAATAAAATGGGCGTTTTTTTTTTTATGTCAGAGTCAGACTATATTAAGATAATGAAAATGAATGGTCAAAAACGCTGCTTTTCTATATTAAAAGTTTTCAGCTATTATACAATACAATAAATTAAAACACAAATAGTTTTGCATTCAAATTCAAATTGTCTTAAATAATGCATACTGCTATGAGATATGCAATTACAAACACCATTTAGCACTTGCATTAAAATTTGAAAAAAGTCCAGAAAATATAGAAAAGCTGATGGCACCATGTGAAATAATGACAACCACACTCCATGTGACGTCACATGGCATGTTCTTTAACACCATAAAGACAAGTGAAATATTATCAAGCTTCAGCAATCAACATCTAACATAACAGTCAGCCAATCTATATTTAACATTTGGTATCTTTGAGAAAAGAAACATAACATCTCTGGACTGGAATACAGATTTCTTTTTGCTGTTTCTTCTTCTTCTTCTTCTTCTTTTTATTATTATTATTATTAGTAGTAGTAGTAGTAGTAGAAGTAGGAGTAGCAGTCGTAGTTGTTGTAGTAGTAGCAGTAGGCTAGAAGCAGTGGTACTGGTATTGTTATCATGATCATTATCATTATTTTTGGGTTATAGTGAAACGTCCTTTGACGTTATTAACAGGTCACCAATGGACTGACTTTTTGAAACTGATTTTGAATGTCTATTAACGTTATTAACAGGTCACCAATGGACTGACTTTTTAAAACTGATTTTGTATGTCTATTAATGTTATTAACAGGTCACCAATGGACTGACTTTTTAAAACTGATTTTGAATGTCTATTAATGTTATTAACAGGTCACCAATGGACTGACTTTTTGAAACGGATTTTGAATGTCTATTAACGTTATTAACAGGTCTCCAATGGACTGACTTTTTACAACTGATTTTGAATGTCAATTAACGTTATTAACAGGTCACCAATGGACTGACTTTTTGAAACGGATTTTGGACGTCTGTTGACGTTATTAATAGGTCACCAATGGACTGACTTTTTGAAACGGATTTTGGACATCTATTGACGTTCATAACATGTCCCTGACTGACCGACTATTTTTAAACACATTTTGGACGTCCACGGACGTTCTCTGTTTATTGGGTAGCACATAGTACAGTTACACAAGGGGATATGAAATCTGTTTACTGGAATTATCTAAAGAAATGAATGTGAAAAATGTTGCATTGTGAAAATGTTACTGCCCGGTAAAAGTTCATGCTCTCTATGACTACATACTGGGAAATATGAGTTACATAAAAAGTAAGAGTGGTCCACCCAAGGAGCTTTAGACTAATGTAATGTTTTTTAACAAATGCATTTGTAAACTATTTTATTTCATATACAGGCGTTTACAGAACCCTTGTAGCATGCTTGGCTGTACCTTTTCACATGCCAGTGCCCTAGTCTAAAGAATGGAATTAATTTTAAGGTAAATCCAATAACAGCAAGTCATGCTCTATTAAGATATGGGCACACTTATGCTAAAAGACATATAAATTGCACCCTTTTACTTACATAGTACCAACTTAAGAGTCCATGTCTGATATAACTTTTGATAGCTGGAGTCTACAGATTCAACAGTGTCAAAGCCATGTTTTTATGGCTGCTACACTATATGGCCAAAAGTATGTGGACTATCAATATATAAGCTTGTTGGACATCCTATTCCAAAACCATGGGCATTTATATGGAGTTGTCCCCCACTCTTTGTAATTATAACAGCCTCCACTCTCTTGGGAAGGCTTTCCACAAGATTTTAGAATGTGTGTGCAGGAATTTGTGC